TGCCTTAAGGGAATTCTGCAGAACGTGAACTTTTCTGTCCAAGACCCAAATGAACTGAAGCTTAGGCAGAGTCTCTTGGTGGGCTCTCTTTTAAGCTGCTCCCTACCCTATATGACTGGCAGGAGCCCTAGGAGACACTGCTGGCTTTTCACTAGAATGAACAGTTGTGCTTCCAAAGCTGAAAACTATGTATTTTACCTTTCTGTTCCAAACATTTCAGCAACACCTGGTTGCTCAGCGTGCCACAAGTGTGCATGTGCCACTCTTCTGCCATAATTATGAGCTTAGAAGAGGCCCCATGAGGGCGATTCATTTCCCAGATGAGGCTTTTGCCATGCTATTGCCCTTCTACATTCACAGAATTCTACTGGGGGTCCAGACAACACCATCTTCCACAATCCTATGCATGTTTCGGCAGGAAATAATCCTACAGCTGGGGAATCTTGGAAGTTGTAGATTTTGTCTTCTGTCTGAACAAGCATAGGATTGTGTTCCAAGATGCCTACAGAACAGGTACTGAATGCGAAGACACATTTCTAACATTTCCTGAACCCAGGCACTTAACATGCTAAGCTGGAATTTTTTATAGAGCATTAAAAAAAGAGTATAATAGAAAATGTAATATATGCATTATCGTCAAGTAACAATAAATGACATGCTTCTATAGTGACTGAACATTTTTTAAAAATAATGAATTAAACATGAGACACACATTTATAGATGCATGCATCGTATAATACCAAATGATAAATATATTCCACTTCTGAACAAGTGTGTTAACATTGCTGCCTTCCTTACAGAGAACAGAATTTACTTCCTGATACTACTACCCTCTTTATCATCTTAATGTATTGTATTCTGGTTTATTATATGCTTCTTGTATGCTGGCTTGATATCCTAGGAGGAAGGCAGATTAAAAATACTTCCAACTAATTAAATAAGTTATCTAATTCATAAATAGGACAAGTTTAGGGCTGTGAAAGCCTATCCACATTTGCCTAGGAGTAAGTCCCTATGTCCAGGTATTTATGCTTGAGATTGTATTGCAATCAAATGGTCCTGTTGCAACTGGAGGTTTGATAGGTTGGCTGGGTGTAAAGAAAAAGTGAATTTTATTTTGAGATAGAGAAAACTAAAATGGGGATCATTTTTGCCCTTCACCAATAACTATGGGTTGGACCCAGGAACTAACTTTCATAAGATGGACACAGTATATTTGCATAGTCCTGCCTATGTGTGCATTTTCATGAGGCTGGAGGAGCTGCTGTGTGAAGGAAGGCAGGACAGTCCACGGCATAAATCTGGATCCATCCCTAGGAATAGCAGCCTTCTTTTAAAACTGATAAAACAACTATTTTTAAAGAAATGCCTGTGATTGGACTAAAAAAAGTAAGAAAGATGGAATGCAACATCAGACTTAAAAAAATAGAATAATGTCAAATTCCAAAATCATTTTTAAATTATTTAAAGAAGCTTTGTGTGACATCCAGTCATATTCTCCTGCTGTCACAACCTCTCCACACCCCTCAACATCTGGACCTCCTGGAGAAGAATTTTGGGGACCGTCTGGAGCAGAAGTTGTGGGGAGGTTGCAGGGGGAAGGAGAAGTCAAAGAGGAAATGCCATTTTGTGAACAGACTTGTACACATTCAACATTTAGTTCACCCACTAACCTAATTCTAAAAGCTGATTAACTTTTGAGTGTTGGTTTATATCCACAACTGCAACTTTAATGCTCTAATTTTTTTGCATGTAGAAATGATTTTTTTAAAAAATCTAATTGTTAATGCATGCTCTCAAAAATATTTAATGGGCCGTGCATTGTCAACAAATAAACTGCCTCTTCTTGCTTAAACACATACATGCAGCATAACAACAACAAGCACTATGATGACAAACAATATTTTGCAATATGTATTGAAGCCTTTCCTGCTTCTTAAGAGATGCCATTGAATAAGGGATTGTGCTCATGGAAGTGATGAGGCTGCTTCAAGTCTGACTGTGTGTGCCCCAACTCCACCCTATCCTGTTATAGACAGGCTGATTGAAAGACCACATGAGAATAACACACTGATTGTGATGTTGTACAAAACCAAAACCCCACCATACCTCAGTAAGGAGAGTTTTCTAAAGTCCAAAGAGACATTTTCAAACCTTAGATCTATTGCTTTGTATCGCTTGTCCCCAGATATGCATAGCAAACATATTTCTGCATCTGCATCCCATTTCCTCCTAACAAATTTGCACAGCTTGTAATGTAGAGGTCACCTTACAGAAACAACAGTGTGTATTAGTACTTTCCTATACAAGAACTGAAGACCTGATTAGCAATTCCCTTATATAATGCAATTGCAAAAGGCAAGTCTGTTGCTGTAATACCTGAGGCGGCAGCCCATAAGCAACTTAAATTGTTGTCTTACTAGATCCTGGCAGAAACACAGCAGCTCTAATGGCTGAACTCCTTAATAAAAGAATGTCTTCCTTGTAGTATTATCTATACCTTGGCAAATAAATAAATAAAATATACTCTGGGTGATTTCAAATGAGGTTTTTTATCATGCAATTGCCCGTCTCATTCAGGGAATTTTTCTGGGGGTCCAGATGGTAGCAGCAATGACTTGCAGCCCTCTTGTGTTTTTTAATGCTTCATCCACCTTTTCCTGCACAAAAATGTGTCAAGGAATAAAAGATGGAAGAGGCGTGTGAAGCCTTTGGTAGTGCTAGGAGCACTCTGTGTCTAGAAGTGCTCTAAGTGTGTATTAATATAATGCTTCTGTCTCCCTGGGAAAGCATGCACACTTTTCTTAATTAATGCTAAGTATTCCTTTGCCATCTTGTATTACATTAAAGGAAAATAATGTTCGGAAGAAATTGTGCTTGCAAGATCATTTTTACTGGGAAGTTTATAATGTAAATTCGGTTTGGTCAAATGTGATTACACCATTATAAAATGTGAAAAACCGATATCATTATAAATTGGACATTGAGCCTGTATCTATCATGAAGATAACATAATCAAATTGATAAATACAATTAATAGTTAAGAACTTGTACAGTGAAATGCTAGTAGCATCACCAGCAATGCAAAGTTATATTCAAATGTCAGTTTCATCGGTTTCTGTACATGAAATAGTGTGGGAGGAAATCCTGACCTTCAAGTCAGGTATCAAAGTGCCTTGAGTTGGCCCGCTAACTGTCACATAGGGAGAATAATTTCTCTTAAAACCGCCAGAAGAATAATTAAGACTTCTGCAACCTGATACCATCCAGAGGTTAATATCCACAGCCAGCATAGGCATTGGTCATGCTGAATGTTGTAGGGAACAAGGTTGGAGAAAGCTGATCTTAATGCTATTTCAGATGTGGTTTTTGTAAGTAACTCTGCAAGTAAATGTTTTTGGTTGTGTGCATATTCAGTGACTGCAACTAGAATGGAAAATATGGAATGACTAGAAAGCACATTGGATTTCAAAAATGGAATTTTCTTTCCCATATTAACTTCATTCACCTGATATGAATTCTATTATTTTAAAAATGCAGTTAGTGCCACTTGTGAAAATGTGCTAGTGTGGACTTTGTGGGAAGACTTAGAAATAACACCAGATCAATTAACTAAGAGGAGGTAGGAGGACTAACTTTTTAAAACTATGGTATAATGGCTTTCATATCTGCCCTGTGGCTAGATGGATAACAAAACAAACATATCCAATATTTAGCTCAGAACTTTTGAAGGAAAACATCATCAAAGATTTAATATTTTATTGAGACACTAGCTGGATACCATATTGCAAGAAACCTCCCTCGCAGCATTATTGTTTCATGAAGCTATAATCAAAATAAGCCAGACTTTTACTTTAATTCAAAAGAAATATTGCTGTCTAGGACAACAAGGAAAGCCTTGCTGTGCCTATGCACAGTTGCCTAAGCTATAAATTGGTACAGATGTTTATTGTAATTTTATCTGAGGAAGAAGAGAACAGGAACTTGGAGAATAAATCATTTGCTTCCTATCAGGTCAGCATTTTCTGTCTGGTCTCTGAAGTCATTTGGATTTTGTCCATAAACTACAGAAACAACAGTATCAGGTTTAAGGTCTCTCAGTGGATGGAAAACACTGATACAGTTTTCAGGCAGGTGGCAGGAAAAGTCTTGCGGTCATAATGCTTGTGTTATTGTAATCAGTCCTTTCCAAGCTCCATTCTTTTTTGTTTGTTTGTTCATGTTTCCCTCCCTATTTTCTTGCTGTAATCTTGGAGACTCCTAGTCTCAGGAACAAGCAGTGGCTTGATAATGACTGGATAATCCCTAGCAGAAATAGCCAGGAATCATTTCCAAAACAACAGTAGCAACAGTTGTACAAATAACCTGTAATAAACCACAATAATGATGATCTGTGGATTAACAGAAACAATCACTGACATTTAAACAGGCAACTTTGTTCCCTGTTGATTTCATTAGCACATTCCCATGAGATAGTTTGCATTTGAAGTTGAAACTAACTGAGCACCTTTTCTGAACAATGTATATTTTTTACCGTGTGTGTGTGTGTGCGTGTTGGGGGTGGGTAAAGCAGGGTTGTTAAGCTGTCTGAAGTTGCTTTGTGGGATGTTTGCCACCGGATCACTACAAGGAATAACTCCTTATTTAACAGGAAAAAATCATGCCACTAAATAACACTCCAGTTCTTAGAAGAAGGTGGGGGTGCAGGGGAGAAAAGGAACAGGTGGCCAGCCTACTTGGTGGCGTGTTGTGATCAGCTGCAGAGTTAGTTAGGACCCAGTCATTGGGTTAAATCCAATGTCACATGAGCTTCTGCTCATGCAATGGGACCTCCCAAATCCATCTCATGGATTTCTCCAGTGTGCCAGAGCAGATTTAGGGAGTACTTGGGAGGCTGCAGTGAGGAGGGGAAATTCAGTTCAGCTTGCAGATGGTCAACATTGCATTCAACCTCTCTGTTCTGACTTTGGGGGTGGGAAGTTTAGACTTTCCATTCACCTCACTGGGAGTATTTTTATTCTCCCCCCCCCCCTTACAGATGTAACATGAGTAGATGTGAGACTGCAGTGAGCATAGATTATAGACTGTGATCTCCTTTTTCTCAAATCATGCCTAATACACTGGCTTGATTCTAATAGCATAAGCATTCTGCCAAAGGGGCACCAAGCTAATGTCTCATGCTAAGCTATCTCTGGGCTCTGCTTGGACATAGGAATTTAGGAGCAGTCCTAACTTCATCCAGATGGCTTAAATCAAGAATAGGATTGTAATATTAATCAAGCCAACCCATCAGGCAAATAAACTGCACCATGATATAAATCACTTCCAGCTCCTGCTTCATTATTTTCTGAACAGTAAAATAGGTTTTCATCCAGCAGCCACTTGTCCAATATTTATTTTTGTTTTTAAGATATTTCAATACTGTACAATTAGACAAACTCTCAGAATGGTGTACAGAAAATATCAAATAACAATCAATTTAAAAACACATTTAAAACAAACCTGCCTGTCATAAGACAAGCTTTCCTGTCAATACTCACATGAATATTCAACAGACAGTGCAGAGATTATGAAAATTTCCTTTGTTCAAATTGCATTGCATGCCAGTTAAATTTAGTTGCCATTTGCATTGGGTTGGATGAAGAGTTTATCTTCCTATGCAAGTGCACACCCACATCAGAGTGTTTCAGGGTTTCTTTCCCTAGTGGGAAGTTCTTGGAGCTGATGGTGTTGCTCTGTGCATAAGATGAGGGTTAACACACTAACATTCTAAAATACACCTGCCAGCCATCAGATGTGCAGGAGAACCCACCTGCAGAGAGCACTGTCAGCTCTCTGCCCCCATTTACAAATTCAACCCTACTGAAGGGTTGACTTTGCACACAGCTTGCTTCTATTGTACTTATGCCAGAAGAAAGAAGCACATGTGTGCGCAGCAAAAGCAAGATAGCCCCTTTTCAGCACAATTTATCTATAACCATCTCTGAGGACAGTTCTTTTCAGTTAATCTCCATAACAGTAAACCTAAATTTGTCCAAATGGTTTGACCCTTCCAGCAATCTATTCATTTCAAGAGATCTATTTTTAAGCATGACTAAATCTGGATCCAGATAATTACGTTGCACTTCTCCACATTTTACTCAAGAACTTACTAATAAAATCTCCATAGATCAGGCACAACATTTTACCAAGTACAAATACAAATGCTTTTTTAAAAAGCAAATGCATTAATTCTAAGAAATAAATTTATTTTTTATTTTATTTCTATATTAGATATATATGCTGCCTTTATTCTTACAAAGAACTCAGGGCACCTGACATCATTCTCCTTTCAGTCTTATCCACACAACAACAATCCTGTGAGGTAGGTTGGGCTGACAGTCTGTGACTGACCCAGTCACCCATTTGGCTCCATGACTGAGTGAGGATTAGAACACAAATTGATTTTTAAATGAAAATAAAATAATGGAACAACATTTCTATGCTCACAATGTTCCCTTATGGTATTCTAAAGCCTCCTCTGCACTGTCCAAACATAATGCTGTTAGAATGCTGAGCTTCCAGGAGGATTTTTCTCTCCAGTCAATGGGCCAAATGCTATCTTCTCAGCCTTATCTTACCAAATGCTATCTTCTCTACCATTTCCAGACAAAGGGCTCCTGGTATTAGCAATCAGAAGGCTCTGTGCAGCTATATTCTTTTCTTAGCAGATTTTCTCCATTAAAAATACATTGGAAGTATGGGGAAACATGGAATACGAGTAGAAATTGACATCTGGAACTCCCTGTAGACTTCTGTGAGGCAAGTCAATGGCATGATAAAAGCCTCATCTAGAAGCACTGTTTGACTAATGAAGTAGCCAACAGATCAGCAACACTGTTGCAAATCAAGAACAAGGAATCCTAGAATAGTAGAGCTGGAAGGGGTCAAGAAGGCCATTGGGTCCAACTCCCTGCTGTTCCAGGACACCAATTTATACCACCCCACTCAGTTGACTGTCCAATTTCACCTTGAATGTCTCTAGTGTGGGAGAGCCCACCAGCTCTCTAGGCAGCTGGTTCCACTGTTGTATTGCTCGGAAAGTGAGGAACCTTTTCCTGATATCTGTACAACTTCAGCTGATTATTCAGTGTCCTACACTCTGGTATCAGCAAGAAAAGTTATTGACCTTCTTCTTTGTGACAGCCTTTGAGATACTTATAAAGCAGTATCATGTCCCCCCTCAGTCTTTTCTTCTCAAGGCTGAGCATACTCACTTCTCCCGGTCTCTTCTTATACGGCAATGTTTCCAAACCCTGTATCATTTTTGTTGCCCTCCTCTGCACCCTTTCTAGTTTATCTGCATCTTTCTTAAATCTTGGACTGGACACAGTACTCCAGGTGAAGACTGGCTAGTGCTGAGTATAGTGGAACTAGTACTTCACCTGTTTTGGAAGCGATGCTTCTGTTAATGCAGCCCAGATGAGCATTTGCCATTTTTGCAGCTGCAAGGCGAACCTTAAAAAGCTATCCAGTTTATAATATAGCGTAAGTTTTCATGGACTACAGTCTGCTTCACCAGATGCATGAGGTGTTATTGTGAGCCACAAATACATACTCTCAGTTGGCTAGGGAGAATTATATACAGCAAGGAAGTCAGAGTTGAATAACATTTATTTATTAAGCGTGAGCATGCAGAAAACAATGGCTGGGTGATAGCACAGCCACCTTTGCAGTGGTAAGTTGATGTACACATGCTGAAACAACCCTGCATTCTGGGCTAGAGTTGTGAATTGACAGCACAGCCTTGTCTGCTGCTCCTTCTGCACCTGTTCCACCTTATGCAGTAAAGCGTCCTGTGACAGATTCAACAGGTTGGCTCCCCCATCACTTCAGAGTCTCTTTTACCGCTGTTGATTTACTCTACTGTATTATTTCTGTTTTAAGATCTTGTCGAATTAGAACAAAATGGAAATACAGATACCTATTTCAAGTAAATCAAGACAGTGCCTTTTCAACTGCTTCCAACCACTTGGGTCAAGTCCATGAGGAATAACCTCTGATGGCCGTACTGCCAGTGGTAGGCAGGCAAAGACAAGTCAAATTAAGAGGGAAGAGCTGTCTTTTTTCTCTTGGAAGCATTTTGTTCAGTTGCAATTCATCAATGGGCAGGACTTCTCAGTGTCAGTGCTGCCATCTCTAAGCAGACTCCTGTACCTTCAACAACAAAACAGGAGGAAGTCCTGGCAAGCAAACCTATAGGAAATATTTCTGTACCAGCAGTGGTTGGTGGCCCCAAAATCGGAGGGAGAGGGTATCCACACTGGTTTTCAGACCGAAATTGATCATGGTGCTGATCCCCCCCACGCAAGTTCGCACTCCATGACTAGCTCCTTGAAAGCTGAAACTGAAACTCGGAGTGGATATACTCTTCTAAACTGCCCTTCATTTCCACGGTAACTTCAAATACAGCAGTAATACAGTGCAGGAAATATTTTAAGCTCCAATGATATGCACATTTACTCGCGACCACTGAATTCGGAGAGGCTTACTTCGAAGCAGGTGTGCATAGGACTGCACTGCCGGATCTCCTCTCCTTCCCTTTGAGTGGGAAAGAGAGCAGCCACCTGGCCCGGCAGGGTCGGGGAGCAAACACAAGGGTCGCCGCGAAAGCGCAGGCAGGGGCAAGCCTGCGACGCGGTGTCCGCCTCGGGGCGCGGCTTAGGGCGGGCGCGAGAGTGGGCGTGGCCACGGCAGCCGCTCGCGGAGAGGAGAGGTGGCCGCGCGGCTGCGGCGCGGGCTGCTCACGTGACTCAGCACATGGGCTGACAGGCTGGGCAGAGCGAGAAGGCTGAGCATGCGGCGAGCGCGTGGAATTCCTCGGCGGGGGCGTGCCTCTCCGGGTAGGCGAGTCACGGGGCGGGGCGCTAGTACGCTGTCGGCTTGGCTCTATGCCGGCCGCTATTTGAATGGGGTTGCTAGGAGACGGGTGCGTGCTGGGGCCAATGGAGAGGCTCTTCGGTTATTACTATGACGTGCCACCCGTCTGAAGAGGCTAGGCGAAAGACCGGATGGTCGGAGGGTTACAGCCAAGGCCACCGCCTCTGTCCATCTCGTTTATCTGCCTATTTTGGGTTTGTGTGTGTGTTTTGCGGGGAGGGGGAGCGCGGCGCCTCGTCTTTCCTTTTCCTTCGTTCGTGACGGAAGAAAACGACGGTTGCTGCGGATGAGAGACGGACCTCAACTCGGCTTCAGGTGGGAGGACTGGCGCAAATAAGTGCCGGCTTGGCGTTGCCTTGACGGCCACGGGGGGGGGCTCAGGTAGGGGGCGCTAGAGGTCGGGCGTGCTGTCAGAAAGAGGCGGAGATTGAATGGGAAAAGGGCGGGGGGTGAGGGACTATAGGTGAGCTCTTATTAAATTTCTGTCCCTCTCTCCGAAAATGGGTTTGGGATGGAATCACAGTGGGCGACTCCCTGCACCAGGACCGTTTAAAGGGGCCGGACGCTGAAGGGCGCTTCCCTCCCAACGGCTATGAATGGGTTGTGCGGAATGGTGCGTGCAGAATGGGGGTGGGGCAGAATCAGGATGGCCGCGGGGTGGCAACATTCTCTTCCTCCCGCCTTCCCGCAGTTTCGCTGCACCCAATGGGGATGAAAGCACCAGGAACGGCCCGGTCGAGCGGCACTTGCTGGGGCCAATGAAAAAAGAGGGATACCCGGGGCCCCAGTGCTCTTTGCCCCGCCTGGCGCCCCTCCCACCGCAGCCTTCTGTGTCCAGTCAGAGGCGGGCTGTGGCAAAAGGGGCGGGGAGAGCGTGTGGTTAGGGAAACGGAGAGGAGGTGCGGCCCAGCCATAGGCAGCGGCGCTGTATTGCTGCAGCGCTGGAAGGAGCTTCTGGGGAAGGAGCGGAGGAGAAGCTTCACTACGGCGATAGCGGCCACCCCTCGGCAGGCAGGGTTTCCCTAGCCGTGTCCACGAGCTGCTTCTTTCCTGCTTTCTTCTGCCCCGTGATCGTCCTCTGGGGCTGACCCTGCGCTTGTGTTGTTGTCAGGGAAGGACCGCGACTAGGAGCTTGAGACCGGTGGCGGCTTGAGGCGGCGGCGGGCGACTGGTGCCCCCTGCTCGCCTCGGGCCCCTCCCCTGCGATGGGGAATGGGTTGTCCGAGCAGACGCCGATCCTCTCGAGCCTGCCTGCCTTCCAGTGTTTCCACATCGTGATTTTGGGGCTGGATTGCGCCGGAAAGACCACCGTCCTCTACCGGCTGCAGTTCAACGAGTTCGTCAACACCGTCCCCACCAAAGGTTTCAACACCGAGAAGATCAAGGTGACGCTGGGCAACAACAAGACCGTCACTTTCCACTTCTGGGACGTTGGTGGCCAGGAGAAGCTGCGGCCTCTGTGGAAGTCCTACACACGTTGCACCGACGGCATCGTCTTCGTGGTGGATTCCGTGGATGTGGAAAGGATGGAAGAAGCCAAAACAGAACTGCACAAAATCACACGGATCTCTGAGAACCAAGGGGTGCCTGTGCTCATCGTGGCAAACAAGCAGGACTTGAGACACTCTCTTTCTCTCTCGGAGATGGAAAAGATGTTGGCCACTGGGGAGCTGAGCTCTTCCACTCCCTGGCACCTGCAGCCCACCTGTGCTATCATAGGAGATGGCCTGAAAGAAGGACTCGAGAAACTGCATGATATGATAATTAAGCGAAGGAAAATGCTAAGGCAGCAAAAAAAGAAGAGATGAGCTTCTGTGACCATGAAGGGTAATTCCTTCTTGGCACTTGACTAAAACAGTTTCCAATGCCTGGTCTGCCTGTTTGGATCTTGTACAGCCTAACTAATAAATACCCAGCCTGGTGGGAAGCTTTGCAGACACAAACCCTTTATATGGTTTCCCCAGAAGTTTTCTTTTTGGGGGTGGGGGCACTGCTTCTTTTTTAAAACAAAAGGAAAACAGGCCCCTTGTTACATAGTACAAAATGATCAGGAAACAGATGGGTGGGTAAATGTGACCTGGATATCTAAATAGCCAAATAAAACAATGAAGAGTGTCCTGCTTGATGGTGTAGTTATGTTTGAGAGTGCCTTTGCAAGAAAATTGCAACTGAGGCATTCAGTGTTTTTCAACTACTGCTTGTATAAGTGGAGTGTTTAGATGAAGATATACAGCTTTAAAATAGTATCCTTTAACATATATGGAGCTAGTAAACCATTATTTAAGGAGGCTGTGAATGTGGAGGGTTTTTAAATGAAAGATTGGCTGTATGGTATGCTTTTAAACTGGTTCTCTTAAAATCTTGGAGCTCAAGTGAGTTGAACTGTGATATTCATGTTATTTGAAGCTTGAAAGAAGAAAAGATATGGAATATGTAAGAGCATGGATGAGTTTCCTGATAATGTAGCATGCCTTGGTGTGTAGGGGTTCTTTAGAAATAGCTGTGCATCGTTAAACAGTGCTAATCAGGTTTGGACCATACTTGTTTGTCCTAGGGAGAGATGTTCTAAGTTTGCTCAATAGAAAACCCTGGATAATTAGACAAAAGCAAACTACTACCACAAGGAACTTGGGTTTCAGGATTCTTATAGTGCAATATTACCTTTGAATGAAATTGATGGCAATAAAATTTGATCTTAATTAAGTGTAAATCAGCAGAAATGCATGTCCCATGTGCCCAGTGCTGGTAAAATGTACTGCCAGGTCTTTAAAAAATCTTGCAGTATTCTTAAGAATGTATTGAAGCTTTTTACACTTGAAAATCTTGACACTGTGGAAAAGCAAGAGTTTAAAGATGACTTGTGTCTGCTGTAATTAAGCTTTAAGCTTTCCTTGTTTACAGTCATTCAAACAGTGTTAAACAAGTGTGTTGGACTGCATATGATAGAGAGGAATTTTTCTTACTGGTACAGCTTTTTATGGGCAAATTGGGTAGCAGGTTAAAGGGCTAAACTAAAGCCTGTATTACTCTACTGGTGCTGCAAAACATTTTAATAATTCCATTGGAAAATGAGAGAGAATAGCTTAAAAGGAGCAAGACTTTTCCTCCCCTTGGCACAACCAACGAAGTTAGTGTGTCCTCTTACCTACTAGCCAGAAATAGGGAGGGATAACTACAATTTTGAATGTCAGGAAATATAACTTGTATAAAATCAAATTTTATAGCCGGAAACTGCTTAGAAGGTAACCAAAAATGCACTTTAGTGTTTTCCAATACTGAAAGTGACAGCTTTTTTTTGAAAAATTAATGAAATCCTGGTCCTTTTTGAAAGAATTGAAGTAGCTTCCAATGGAGCTTTTGTACGTTGGTTATATGTACCTGCACTAGTGGCACTAAAAGTCACTTAATGTCTATATTTATAGAAATGTGGATAACTTCTTAAACCTCAATAAACTCAACTCCAAATGAGTAATTGGCGACAGAAGTTGACAACATTTTGCTGTGCGGATCTTGCTTTTTATCAGAACTGTCTGCATGAAACTGAACCCTTTATTCATGTGAGATTTGTAAAATGTGACCATGTTTAAAAATCACAGGTATCTCATTAAAGATTTAATGGCAATTTGCATTATGTGCTGTATATTTACAACAGAAAATCTGAGTAGCAGTACAGTTACTTCTATCTTTTGTTAATATAGGGCCTGATCATCTCTAGTATACAATAACTTGTGGAGTTGTGACATGTTATGAAGTGCTGTGGCACACTTTTTTGTAACTTGCCTGGCACAGTCAAGAAACCTTCATAAGTATTCTTGAAGTCTGAGGCCTTATGTATGCAATTGAAAACAAAGTATAAGAGGCTAACAGTGATTATCCCTTCCTTCCTTGGCAGCATTTAACTTTTAGAAGTAGAACAGAGGTTTACAACTCTCCTAGGTGTGCACAGTTTTAAGATGCACTTCCACAAGTATAAATTGTATACTCAGCAGTTTAATGCTAGAAAAGGAAATACTAGTCTAGTGAAAGCCATTACACCATCATGGATTGTATAACATTCTTCCATACATACCTAGTATTGGTTAGTATAGATTTAACTGGTTAACAAATGACAGTATATAAGGGGTGAAAGTATCTGGAGTTGCCCAAAATACCTCTACTCTGGTCCTATGGTTTAATTCTGTGAGTCAGGATCATACTATTTTTGCTTAAACTCATGTGCTCTTCAATGTGTTTCAGCATTTCCATGTAGTAAACTTAATGACAATGAAATGGTTAAAGGAAGAATAATTCCTTGTTAAAGCAGTGGGATTTTGCTGTGCTGTTTGGAGGCTGAATAGTCAATTTAGCTGATCTAGATGGAGCCAGCTGTCTGCTGAGTATTCCGTTTCAATGTTTTAATAAAGGTGTGTCCTCTTCAAACTACAGTGGTGTTCCTGCTGAGAGAGTATCTGTTGACTTTTGTTATTCTTCATAGTGATTGTGAAGGAAGGGGATCAGGGTATTTTTCCTTAGATCATTTAAGCCCCCCTCCTTAGCAGGATCTATGGGACCTGTTTCAACTGCAGCTGTCTGTTGAACAGGATATATCTACTAAGTAAAAGGTAGTGTTTTTGTTTAGTAAAACCCATCTGGGCTCCAGTATTTATTATGACTGGGAGAAACCGTCCATTAAAATGGTCAGTTAAAGGAAGAAAAGCAATATTGAAAGCAATACTTAGTGAGGAAAGTAGTTCCTTATCTCTTCTATTAATCTCTATCCCTTTTTAAAAATTCATTCTGTTGGCCAGGGGTGGCTCTTGTGGCATTTAGTAGCTAGATCTAAGGAACGGAGGGAGGAAACACAATTTTTATCATTAGATGTCACTTCACATTCCACTATATATTTGGCTCACCCAATTTTGCAAGAACTCTGGGCAGCTAGACATACTTGATTAATCTACTGAAATTCAACTCTGCAGATTTTTTGTACTGAAACTTGCAGAGAACTATAGTGAAAGAATGTCTCACGTTAGCAATAGAATCTAAAGGTGTACCAAGACTTTGATAATACATTTCCTGGTGTAGGAGGTGCTGCAATGGTATATTTATGTGACTCATAACTGTGGTTAGTTGGCTATATAGTGGGGTGCAAATGAGGTTGGCTCTCGTTAACTGTATGGAGAGTGTACTATCCAGACACTTGAAAGTATAATCTGAAGGAAATTTTTCTAATATTTCCAGAATCAGACCAACTAGGGTTAGAAAATTCAGCCAGGCATTTAACAGAGATAGATAAATTGCAAGGAGAGAAGGATGAGGAAGAGTTGTTTGCAGCTCTTCTATGGGGAAATCTGAAGATTGTGTTTCAGTGATTCACTGAATAGTGTCTGGCATCTTTTCTTACCTTAATATTTTGAAAGACATGCTATCATGCTTGATAAGCAACAGATATGCAGACTTTGTAAACAAGCACCATATCATGCTGAGATGGGATTCCTTGTTGGTGTTGCTCTGGCAAGGCTTCTTAGGTGGATCTTGCTCGGCTGTGGAGATACGGGTTTGTTGCAAAAAGGCATTTTGAGTAAGAGAAGGTAAAAGTGATGTATAGTCTGTAGCTAAGCAGACAGGAATTAGTGAGCTTTTAGTAACTGCCCTGGATCCCTTGCATAGTTGTGGTGGTGCAGACTTGTCAAATGCAAGATGTTTTTCTATCACTGTGTTGGTGCAACCCTCAGGATGGAACACCAGCTGAAATGATAGCATAAGATCAGCCTTTAATTCTTTTTCCTCTTTTTTCCCCATCCTGATTTTTTTAGCTCATTTTTTCAACTTCCTGGAAGAATAACAGTTTGGGAGTAATTTGTGGCTCTGCCAGAGCTCCAATTTGTCCTCTTCCTTCTCAACTGCACTCTTTGTTCTATTGCTTACTAACCCCATAAGGGCTGGGAACTACTCTGGTGCATAGGCATGACAAGATCAATCAAGTCAAAGGTGGATAGATAAAAGGAAGATTTTGAAGGCCTTGCCTGGAACCACTGACAGTGGAGTGTGCTGTAAAGCATAATGTTTCTGCTAATTTATATGAAACTGGTTACCTTAAGCTGCCTTTGGAGGTCTTTACCCTGGAAAGTGGCATATAAATACATTCAAAAATGAATCTTTATTACTTTGTATTTTTCTGCAACATTAAGTCTGCATTAAGTCGTACATCGTTTGTGGGAGCAAGTCCCATTAATTCAGCCAAACTAATTTCTGAGTTGATGTGCATAAGATGGCACTGTCAAAACTTAAAGAGTTAGGCCCAGACTTACTCATACTTGGAGTAGTCCTGCTGATTTCAGTAGATCTGACCTGAGTATGACTAAGTCTTGATCCAGCCCACTGTATTTATTTGGCAGAGGTGAAAGTAGCTTTGAGATGGCATTACTTCAAAAGCTTCCAAGGGACAGCATAGCTTTTCTGTTATTCAAGTTAGCTGGAGAAAGTCCTGCAAAGCAGGCTTATCTGAAAGTCTATGGAAAGGTAGACTTTTAGGCTTGTGTACAATAGGGATGATTTCTAAAAATATCCCACTGTTGCTAAGATCAGATGAGCATCGTTGCGTAGGCAGCCTTAGGGAGCCCTGCTCCAAAAGCTCTGCTGGCATTTTTAACACCATCTTGTGATGTGACCCGGTGTAAAACATTTATAGTATCTGGCTGATCTCGGTTATGACTGGTCTCATGCTCTGAGCCAGAAACAAGACACCAAAAACATAGAAACATTTGTAGTATTGGGTCATTTTATTTTTCAATGATTTTTTTAAAAATTTGATCATTGCACAAATGTATATAGCAAATGTAATACTTGCAGTAAAGGCTCACAGAACCGATTTATAAAAGTTAACAAGATAGCCCCTGTCCTTAAGTGCACAATCTACACAACACAAAAAGAAAAGGGATAAAGAGGATGAAAAAAAAATCAGACACCCATTCATAGTTTCAAAAGTTCATACAGGTGTTCAGTGGGGCAGGGAAGGGCAAAACATTTTCCTTCTCTGACAGCAGGGCTAGGTCGGTCTACCATTTACCATTATGCTGATTTTAGGTAGGTCAGAGTCAGTACCTATATAACAGATGACTGCTGTACATAAATACTATTTCAGTTTCATTATTCACATAGAAAATATCTTCATAAAGCATAGCTCCTGAAAAGGCAGGGAGTCCCCCCACCCCCTATCTGCCATGGGGTGTGCATAAACATGATTACTGTAAATGGCTGGGCTATACGTTCTTTATCTAACACCCGTCCAAACTATCAGTGGTGACAGCGCTCGTAACTTGCCCAGTTCCCCTCCTTTGCTTCCTTGAAAGCACTTCTGTTCAGGACAGGCATGCCTGACTCAGCTATATTGAGCTAGCAGGAGCGTAAGATGTCTGGCAGTTTTGTTAGTATGATGATTACATGCCTACCTGCAGGGAGATTTCACTTTTGTGTGTTGGGCTGCTGATAAAAGCACAGAACAGGGCCAGCAAAAAGCTGGCAAACTTCAATCCTTCCAGTCTGGCACCAAGCATGGCATTGGTAATTTGGGAGAGATTCTTCCCCCTCCCTGACCTCAAGATTTCATACAGAACTTTGCTGCTGCCACCGCAACTTGGCACAGTTTACCCTGCTTAAAGCTTGTTACTGTCATTATAGGGGCCAATTTAGTTAAGATTTTGGGAGACCTGTGGGCTGGAGGAGCTGATCATATCTTGTGTTAACTGAACTTAAACAGCTGGATGAGGTTGGCAGCAGGTGGAACTCTGGGTTATGTTGAGATTTTGGCAATATAAATCTGCATCCCACTCCCCCACCCCAGTTTTTATCTGGCCCATTACTGAACCCATATAGTTTTATTAAGTCTTTTGTTTTTGTATGTGATGAGGGTGGAATTTGCATTAGCAAAATGACGAGACAGGGAAAGGTACATGGGTGGAAGCTCTTGTCAGACACTTGTGTGGAAGTAGTCTAATGAAATTGCACATATGCAATGTATGTTATGCGGGTCCCCTAAACCTGCCTTTCCCAGCCTGCCCTCCAGATGTGTTGAACTACAACTCTCATCACCCATAGCCACCAGTTGGGCACTGACTGGGGATGATGGAGGGTACCAGAAAGTCTTGTGGAAGCCCTTCACCTCAGCAGCTGTCAAGAATGCGTGGCAATGGCAGTTTGTATCCACTATTGTCTTTCTGCTAGTGCAAAACTTTTATTTCTATTGCTTGTATAAATCCCATTTACTTCCATGTGTTAGTGTTGAATCCAATGTATTTGCTCCACTTCTGGAAGGTGTTCTGGATGGTGCTGAATGAGGCATTGCACCACTCATTATAATTTCATCAGTGTAGGTGTTACTACAGGCACTGGATGTGCCAGTTGTTCTGTTAGCAGTTGTGCACCTGCTAGTGGAACAGTGCCAACTCTTAACTTTTCTACTAGTGTGATGTGGCAATTCAGAAGATCCATGGAATTTTTTGCTCTTGTCCCTCAAAGGGGTAGAAGGGTATCATCAAGGACTCTTTGGAATGCAAATGAATTAAACTAGATAGTAGCAGGCAAGAGGGAATGGTAAATGGACTTCCATTTTCAACAGTTTGATAACAGCCAGGTGACACTGAA